ACGAAAATGGTCTTCTTATATTTTCTCAATATCGGTCCATTATAATTTGCAGGAAGACAGTGCTAGTTAGTATCCTTAAAGCTAAAATTCTTTTCTTTGGCATTAGCTTTACTTGTTTGATTAACATTTTCCAGAGAAGCTGCTACTATTACACTAAGAAAAGATTAAATATCAACTTTTATTCTTTTATAAGAGTATTTAAATAGTAAAATAAAAGAATTACCTATTAATAGAACTAAGTTTACAAGCTTAACCATCTTAGTAGTACTCTTGCAAAGCTTACCGACCAGTAACAACAAACTTCACAACAACATCAACTTAAACTGAGATTTAGGGAAGGGGACAGGATGGGTGAAGGGAAATAATGGGAATTGGAAAATTGTTTTTTTGCTTTTGTTACCGAAAAATTTAGTGGCGAATCCATTAAATCGCCACTACCTAACGTCTACCCTAGTCTTCTCTCCTTTAGTTCCTTTGTATGGATTTTCATAATCCGATATTCTACACACATATTATTAACAATTCAAATCAGCTCGCTACTAGATGCTTCATATAAATTATGTGTTTTAATCATTCGGTCGTCACAGACAAATAAATATGGACTTAAATCCAATAGTTAGATTACATGCCAAATTAACGTAATCAAATAACTAATAAAGCTACGAATTGCGGCTTCAACTATTATAGCTGAAAATAATTAATCAGGTAAAAGCAATAGGTCTGGAGACAAAAATCCCAGTTAATACAATCACATCAGTAATAAATGCCGAATTTATTTATGAAATGAACAAATAATAAGATGAAATCCTATTCGAATAGGCTCTCAGAAGTAAGCCTGGTCTAGCTGAAGTGCTAATAGATTCTATGACAGAGGACGGAAGGCAAGAGATTTGATTAAATGTTTGTAGAGATTTAAATTAGAATGAAAACTCATTAATTAGAAGCCCTCTCATTGTTTTAATAAAATTTAATGTATGGCTTAAATAGATAAATCAAGTAGTTAACATATTGTGTTTTCTTGTGAATAAGCGAAATATAGTTCCATCATGATGTC